GCAGGAAGAAACATTTCCCTTGCCTGCTTCTGAGTATCACTTCACTTATTGTTTCTTCATTTATTTTTGCTGCCCATCTGTTTTCAGTGCAACCCTCAACTGACCTAAGAATCTGATTTGCCAAACTTTTCCTCGAAGGCTGCTTATCATTACTGATGAGTCTTATCATGACTTTGCTGGGTCCTACAGTGCAAATTTGATCCAGATCAGTCTGTGACATACAATCACCTTTCTATTGAATTACCTGTAGCCGATGAGACGGTGTTTTTGTCAGCTTGTGATTTTTTTAAGTTGGCAGGGAGACAACAGATGATATGTGATCTGTCTAAAAGCTGAAGTGTTGTGAACAGGTGATACTTGGTTAGGCTCAGTGTCTGCCAGTTTACAGGCAATTCAGCACAGTTTTTGAACCAGCAAAATGAGTTTATACCACAGTGGTGTTTTAGACCGTGTAGCTCCGGTTATTTTTAATGCAGTACTAAGTGCCTGGGTTTACTGAACAGCTTAACCACAGCGTGGTAAGTCTCCAGCACAGTTTCCATTTGTTCTCTGAACTTTGAACAGTCCTTTGTGATCCAGCCGAGTTCTGTTGGTTGTTCACTGCTCCTCATGTTCTTACCACTGTTTTTCTCTTTTAAATAAAATCTATTTGCAATAAAGGTCAGAACAAGTCGGTACTGACTGTAGACATTTTTAAAGTTCTTCCATTTTCTCAAATATTGGTCAATGTGTTTATCACATGTAAATACTGATTTTTCTATTTATTATTTGATAAAACCTCTTGCAGGAAGTTCCGAGGTTAAATTGCAGATGTCAGTGTTGTTATATGAAATACTTAAAGCAAACCATAATGACTCTTCCCTGGTTTTTGTTGATTAGTGTTGTCAACCCTTAGACTCTTCGAGGTTTGAAGAGTCTGTTAAAAAGAATCTCCACTTCTGTTTGTTTTAGTAGTAATTTTTTTTTATAGTAATACTCTTCATAACATGCTTTTCTAGAATGAGTAGCTATATAAGTATGCTAGATGCTTTGTTGAAATCAGTTATCAAGCTCTTCTTATTGTAGTTTTGTATCAATAATATGTTACACTCTTATTTTGTCCTTAAGTAGCTGGAAGGATTTCCTGTCTTGTAATGAAACTGGCTTCAGTTCCAATTAGTAAAGTACAGTTTACCCAAGTTGTTAGGAAAAATCCTAGCTGTTTATTTTTTAAAAGTCTGTATTGCCTTCTTAACATGTTATGTTTCTGTGCCTAAAACATTTCAGCTATGATAAAGATGAAACAGAGAGCTAGTAGGAAGATGAGTGTCATCAGAAACAAGACAGAAAAACATTCTTTATGCCTAGTTTGCCGCAATGTTTGAAATGATATTTAGTGTTTTATAATTGAAATTACTTTGCTGTCTTTTTACACCCATGACTCCTGGGCAATGTAGGAGTTTCCCCGGGGTGCGTGACTAGTGAGGTGGGAACTCATCACAAATAAGTCATGCAGCCCTTGGCTGTCACCTTGGTGCTTTTCCTGTGGAAAATGCTGGAAGGCAGCAGTGTCAGCTCTGGAGCCAAAGAAGATACAAGGGAGACAGGACCCTCTGAAGACACTGTGAAGTTATTTTTCTGAGGAAAGAAAGGAAAAATTTAAAGGAATGCTGGTGCATCTGGGGTGTAACTAGCATGCCAAATCTTAAGCACTAGCAATTGCTTGCACTTCATTGGACATTTAGGTATCAGGACATTTAATTTCAGGCCCTCTCATGAAAAACACTATTCACTATCCAAACTTCAAGAGGGATTTTTACATTTTATTTCTTTGGTTTGAGAATAGCATCTACTCTGTTGATTGTATAGAAACTTCTGCCCCTTACTCTAGCCCAGTGTCTTCTCACCTGTGTCAGCAGGCACAGGGTTGTATGGTTCGTTGAGATCCCTAGGAATTACTGGCATTGCCTTACACCGAAAAAACGTTATTCACAGTTGTGTATTCCACTTCCCACAGGTTGTTTTATAGGTATTGTTTTACCTTCTTTAAAGCATGCAATCAACAAGTATATTGAAATTTTTAGCATTCTTACCACGGTTTAAGGTGGTCTGTTCCACATTTAAATTCTTTGAGGATTCCTGAAGCAGATAAAGAGAGGAGGTAGGAGAGAATTTCCCAGAAGAGCGGAGGTGAGGGGGAAGAAATGACCTGTCCTCCTTGCTGTTTTTTGGCACAAATGTGGCCCAGAGATCATGTTTCTGTAGGAGAGGTGGGATGAGGAAAGGCTTGCTGCAATATGGTCTGATCTTAAAAGATTATTCTCCTATGATATTTTCTAATTATATATTATAGTATATATTATAATTCACATAGTCTGTTAGATAGTGACCAGCTTCACATTTTTTTTCATTTGAGCCTCAGTGACTATTCTCATGTGATTTATCTGATGTCATATGAATTTGATGTTTGGCCATGACAGTTTGATTCGGTGCTGCTGGAAATCTCTGCTGGGCTTATTTGGGATGACAGGCCTTGGCTATCAGCCCAGCCTTGACCTTTTGTATTTTTGCTAGGATAGTAACTTTTTCTAAAAATCACTTTTGTCTGTGTTCTAACATTGAAATGGTTGTGATCATAGAAATTTTAGCAGATGTTTATGTAGCAGAGATAAAAACCACAACATCAACATTCACTTCCAAATACTGATTCTGTACTTCCATATCTACCTGCTTAAGTAGCATTTGATACAGTGCCCGAATTACTGTAACTAAGGAGTGTTATGGTTGCAGTATTGTGTGGGAATTTAAAATTGCCTTTACTGCTTAGTTGTTGCTACTTTGTATTATCTAGAGCCCTTATTTTAAGTCAGTAATTGCACAAACCCTCAGTGCATTTATCTTTTAATTGGAGGGGGGGAATCCAAACTATGTGAGGAAAGGTACTTTCCAAACATACTTCACATCACAGGGTTATGTATTGGAGCTAAAAGACTGCCCCTCTGCCACCAAATCCCCTGCATTTTCGGTCCAGTGCAGTGCCCTTACAAATGCAGCCTACATACGACGTAGCTCCGCACCTACTGCAAAATAGTTATGGAAGAACAAGATGCTGTGTTTTTAAAGATGCTTCAGAAAACCAAAAGAAATGTTTGGTGACTAACAAATAAAGACTTTGCAAGATGCAACATAGGATGTGTCATGAACATCAACATCATCAAGATTTAGTAAAACAAATCTGTAGGAGTCTCTGAAGTTTCCCATCTCTGCTCTGCTCCATGTTGTTTTTCAGTCTGAACACATACCTATGGTTTATGTATGTATTGCTCTATTCAAATGTATTTTCGAGTCTTCTTTCCCATATTACTGGAAAAAATAGTTTTTATATATTTTGACTCTCATGGCCTACTTTGATTATTCAGTTGCTTAATGTCTATAGTACATTTAATGCCTTTTCTGCTCGTAGTTACCGTTTTAAAAATCTCTGAACCTAGCAGCTAATACTTTTACATTATTATTTCTTATCAGAACAATATTTTCAAAAGTGGAAATGCAGACGATTAGGCTTTTCTGCCCAATTTTAGTACCTAAGCAAAAAGCTACTTTCTAAAAATAATGCCATTCATCTGCTCCTATGTGAAACTGGAGGACCCTAGTGTATGCTCAGCACTTTGACCAGTAAGGCCACCTGCTTATCTCTGCGTGGTATTTATCGTAAATATTTCTTTGTCCTAGATAGCCTTGTGCCTCGTACTTTTGCAGTAAGCATAGTGAATTACTATAAGCTATTTCACTGTTTCAGATATTCTGAATTTTTTTTTTTCTTTCCCTGTTTCAGATATTCTGACTTTCAAAATAAATAAGGAATTGATAACAGTGATGATATTGTTTATATTTAGATCTTACAAGTGTTCAGCAAAATATTGTATAGGTGATTCTTACAGCACTTACGTTTTGGTTAGCAAACTCATTCCTATTTAAAAAAATAGGGAAATTGAGGTAAAGAGTTGAAGAGGCCTAATTAGGGTTACAAAGCATGTCTTACACACTAATGATTTAAAGTGTTCTGCATTTGAAACACAAGGATACATATGTTTCTAATATATATCTGCATTTTTTTTAATGCAGTATTAGGCAGCAGGACAGTGTAATTACTTGCCTGTTATGTTTGGAATATGATTGTGCTGTCCCTTTGAAGGTAAAAGTTTTGTAATGATAATAATAAGCTTGATACCATGAATAAAAACTACTTTAAGTTTGGACAACTGGAAGAAATTGTGCTCTAAAATTTTTGCATTTGAATTTAACAATGCTTTACCAATGTTTTTTGGAAGGATGGTTATTATTTTCTGTGATTTTAGTTATCTTACAGCTCATACTGATTCTGAAGGAGACTCTGAGGAAGAAAAGGGGTGTGTGAAATTGCCTGATGCCATTGTGAAATCAGAAGAAGAGGAGTTATTTAATCTTTTACAGCAGGTGGACAATTTGCACAAAGGTTCAGAGGATGATAAAAGGGAGGGTTTCAGACTGCTCCTTGAGAAAGATGACAAGGTATTAATGGGCAAACTGAATATTATGTTGCTATTAACTTATGCTTTGCACTACTTTTGACAATTTTCTTAATACAAGTATTAAAATGCACACAGGAATGGAAGCTGAAATTTCATGTGTATTTTTAAAATACAGTGAAAAATAAATATTTCAAGGTGGTGTCAATATTAATGTTGGGTGGGCATAGAAATTTTCCTATTTTATATCCCATCCAAGCTTGATAACTTTGAGGCTTTATTTGATGTACTTATTCTTGCGTGCAACAAAGAGAGATCATGAGTTTTTTTCTACATAAATGATACTTACTTTTGCTGGTTTTAGAATGGCATATGTGAGAAAGTCCTGTGGAATTAAATAGTAACCAGAGCAAATGTTCTCAAGAAATCAAACTAGGAGCCTGTAATCTGCTTATACCTTTCTGGTATACTTCATGTGAATTTTTCCTTTGACTTTACTGCGCACATATATAACTCCAGATAAAATTTTGAAGTGGTTTGATGTGCAATGCTTAATTCAGTGTGTCAGTTTCTTATGATTTGGCAAACATTAGTTCTGATTATATTTTCATTTATATATTGAAATACCCAGGAAGGTGTATGATATACTAATTGTGAGTGAGTGTGGTGCTTATGGCATCCCTAAAGAAAATACTCATCACATCCTTCAGGGATCTGTTGTGCTTTACTGGATTACCTTTTTATTTTTTGTATTAAAAGAACTTTAAAACTGATTTATGAAATAAAACCTCTTTAGACAGCCCACGGTATTTTCAAAAGCTGTATTCTCCTTTGGTCATGAGAAATTGGTCATCTGGTACTCACATAAACTAAAAGTAGTATAGAAGGATGCAAAATAAGGAAAGATTTATGCCATGTTCCGATATCCATCTTTAAGCATTATGAAAAGAGACTATTTAAATCACATTCTGATCAGTTTAATTACCCAGCTGTCCTCTACTTTCAGTATGAAAACTGTGTGGACTTTCTTTGGAGACTTACACGTGCTTATGGAGATCTGTTTGAGATGACTACTGATGTTGAGGAGAAGAGGAAGTATGTTACTGATGGTAAGCAGAGGAAAAATTTTTATGTAGAATGCCATCTGAATGCAGTGAAACATGCTCTGAACTTTGGTTAAGTTTCCCAAGGAATTTCCAATCCAATAAATGGGAGTATTTGTACTGTAGAAATAATGTTTTATGTAATAAACTGCCACAGTGTACAGCTTCAGTCCATTCTTTCCTCACTGGAAAGATCCAAAATCAGTGAAGGGGAAGTATTGTGTGTCATAATTGGAGGCTGTTGACTCTGGATGGTGCCTTAAAATCCTGTATTTTGTTGAGAATCAGATGGATACAGAATGTGAAAAAAGACAGATGCTGTCAGCAGTTTCTTAATTACATCTTTGGGAGAGTGAGAGGAATAAATAAATGCCAAGGCAAAGTCAGAGTTTGTTTTTCTGCTTTCCTGTGGCAAAGGAGCACTCCTGCATATCAGCAGCCTCTTTTGGAGTGATGGTGAGGATGAAACTTTGTGAAAAACTGTTGACCAGAAACAGAAGTTATGTGTGGCAATTGATGTTGCTTCCAGACATCTCTCCCCATGTGTCTGTTTGACAGCTTAGCCTCAGCAAGGTTCTGATTTTTTTCTTCACAGAACTTTTTCTTCGTTGCTTTTAAAAGCATTCCCCTTTGTTTCACTGTCTGGATGTATATTGGCTAGAGGTACAGTTTCCATTTCCATTTTTGTTTCTGGCCTTCTTCTCTTTATTAGAATAAAACCTACATCTTTGCTACTTGTGTCACTCTCCTCCAGTCAACACACTGTTCTTACAATAATCCTTTTTGCCTGTATCTGTGAATACTTCTCTCTCTCTCCTTTGTTTCTCCATTGCCTCTCCCTTTTTTGCTGCACCAAATTCAGGTTTTATAAGTGTATTCCAAGTTCAGGTTATTTTGTCTTTTGTGACTCTTTTCCTGTTTTCTATTTTCTGTTCTGTCAGCAGTGACACCATCACTGACAAAGCAGTTTTGGCTGCCCTTTGTCATCCTTAAAGGCAGTGTCAAAGGCCTTTGTGCTGTCATTACACACTCCATAGCCAGCCTCAGCTTGTCCAAGGTCCTTGTCCCTATCCTTTTGTTATCTGTATACTCAAGAAGACTTGCACTGCCTTAGCTACTTAACGGATACCGTCTTTGCTTTCCTAGCAATTTGACTGCTTTGTATGGAAATCACAAAGTGCAGTGAGGATTATGACACAAACTAAATTATAACTGTGAACTCTGTTGCTGGATCTGCTGGATCCTTTGCTTTTCCCAGTGACTAAATGTAGCCTCAGCTGTTGAAAGATAATGGCAAAGCAAAAGACAAGGAGAGATAAGGAATGATGGAATTAAATTTGGTCTTAGGTGTTGAGTAACCAGCCTAGTTTGGCTCATTCTCATGAAGTGGTGGGTGGCGGCAGCCTTTTTCATCTCAGTTTTTGGAAGTGGTGCAGAGAGATTGAGACTGCGGGGGAGCTGGCAGTAGTTTCATGGGTTTTTTCATTCTACTAGGTTGGAGGAGTGTGTATGCTGTTCTTTGTTTTTATGAATTTAACTTGCAATACAGAAATGTCAGTGGGGCTTAATTGGTTACAGCTGAGACTTTGCAAACAGCAAGCATCTCATCTGAACTTCTTGCTGGGAGCGTGGGTTTGATCAAATCACCTACTGTCATCTTTATTCAGTTAAAAGTGAAACTTAATGGAAGTCTTTGTGCTGGAAAGGAACTTCAGCTACTTCATTCCTGTACCTAAGGCAGGAACCAGCTCTGCTGACAGGTGCTTCTCTAACCTGCTTTTAAGGGTCTATAGTCTTACAGACAAGACAGCCTCTTTTGGCAGTCCAGTCCAATCCTTCTCTGATTTAGCTGCATCTGAATTGGATTTTAAGAGACAATACTAAAATTGCACCCATATATATATATATATATGCACGTATTTGTATATGTATGTATGGGTATGTAAATGACATAAAGCCAAGATGTGACATTATCCATCTAAATGTTTATAAGAGCGAGAAGCAATTTTTTCTTTGCAGCTAGAGTATATCAGGGTGCTTTGTTCTTGGTAGTTGCTTAAAATGTGGGAGAATACAACCCTTTAATATTTTATTCCATTTACAGGAAAGATTAAAGCTGAAAAGGCTGTTCAGCTGGATGCCAAGAGTGCTGAGAGTCACCAGTGGTAAGTTTGAGAAAGTGTGCATTTTTGCGAACTTACATGTATTTATCAAATCCACGAAAGAACCCCAGCTGTCTTTGGCTCTAAATAATGCCCACAGCAAGTTACATTTATCATGCTGCAGTCTGACATCAATTTAACAAATTATTCTTTGATATATTGTCATAGTTTTATGGAACTCAATTATCATCAGTTGCAGCTAAAAATTACATTGAAGTATTCTGTGAAGCATTTACTAAAGCATGTGAAACAGGTCAATAACCACGCTTCAGTACATATCCTGAAATGTAGTATTTGCTTAAAGCAGTATATTATTGCTCAGAGAAGCCATAGTTTTCCAATTACCTTCTCTTTCAACACTTTGCAAAATAATGTAATTTGACCTCATATTTTGTCCTTTCTTTTACTTGTAATAATCTAAATTCTAATAATTAAAAATAGACAATGAGAGAACTACAGAAGTTTCAATTAACTTCTCAATTTTTGTTTTATCATATAACTTTCCTTCAAGCTTGGCACTTGGATTAATTTTGTAGCCCTTGCCAGGACTAGCAAACTCTTTGCAAATGTAAATATTTTTTATCAATACTATCAGATAAAAGATAGTTCTGCTGAGTTCTAGCTGATAGTCCCTCACCTTACTATTTTATTAAACAATTTTAGTGAGCTTCTTATTTCTTTTTTAATATTGTTAGCTTTTCCTTTTCATTTTGGTTTCTCTGTTCTTCATTAATATTGTCATTACACATGTAGGGTGGGATTTCACTTAACTTTTACCAAATCCTTTTATCCCAGGCTCCCTTCACAATCTAAAAAGAAGTAGCCACTTCTGGAATGCAGTTCATCTGAGTCCATTTTGCCCATCTGCATTAGGGTGAGATTAATTTCTCTTGAGGTTCAGTTGACATCTTCGTTGCCAATAAAGTGAGCACATGTCAGCTAGTTCAGGTTTAGATGGTTAGACACAGATGTTTTCATTTAATTAGGTGACTCTCTGGCTTGGTTTCTCTCTCCTGAACTTCAAAGATGACTATGTTATTGTTCTACACTATGTTCCTGTGAGTGTTGCCATATTTCTATGATTCTTTTTTCCCTTCTGATCAGCAACAACTAGCGATCCAAACACCCGCTTTGTATCAGTGTGGTGCTAGCAGTGGTGTGCTGTGCGAATCTTGACTAAGCTTCACCGTCACAGACAGACTTGCATTTGCTCTTTCCAGTGTCTTGGAAGTTATGATGATGCCTGCCTGAAGGTGAAGCCCAGGCCCCTGGTGGCTATAATGTGGCAGTTTAAGACAGGAGCCTTTACCTTTGGCCTTACCCAGCTGCTTGTTAATTCTGATCAGCTGGAGGTTACCACCACGACAGCAAAACTAACAGAAGAGAATCATCTGAGTATGGCTCCTCAGTGCAAGATGATTTGAAGCCCATAGCTTGAACACCTGCTGAAAGCCATTTTGTTTGCCTGATCACAGCCATGACCACTTCTTGGGTAAGGGTAATGCCAGGGTACCCCTCTCAGCTAGAGCGATGTGTATAAACAACCACAATATCACATGCAAGGAGGAGTCCTGCCTCCCCCTTCCTCCCCAGCCTTTAAGACTGACAAACTCTCCTAGTATAAATACAGCTTCACTGGCAGAAACTATGCTCATAAAAGCTTACATGTTGTTCAGGGAGATGTAGGTGGTCTGCTGGACTTCAGATGTGAAATCCTGTACTGGCAGGCACATCTAGCAAGGGAAGAATTACAAGTGCAATGAGATGTGTTTCAGAGGTTAGCTCAGAAAGCTTATTTGAGAAGTTTAAGAGGAAAATCTTTTGTTTTGTAGGCTACTCCTTCTTGTAACAGGTGATAGATTCCTGTATGGTTTACAGTTTTCATCCTTTTTGTATCTGGGTTGCAAGTGAATGAGGATTTTGTGAGTTACTCTTGCACTGGTGGCTTTCTAGTGATGTAGATGGACACCATGGATTTGAATAGTTTGGTATAATTTTTTTTTGAATATTTTATCTGCTTGTCTTTATTTTCTGAAGTTTTTCTGATTTGATGCATAATTTTTAAAGTATGATGCCCCATAGTGGTTATGCCACACAAACTGAGGCTCTGCACACTGGGCAGAATAGACTCCCATGCTCCAGACAGACATTTGTATGTTTTTGTCTAGCCTACAAACTATAGTCCCAGTAGATCCTTTTCTGCTGTGCTGATGCTTAACCAGGTGAACTTGTTTTATAACTCTACATTTATTTTTTTTCTTCATTGGTAGAGTACTTGACACATATTTCATTTATTTCATGTTGATTTCAGACCATTTCTCAGGTTTATTGAACATTTAGGTTTGTAAATGTTTGCAGCCCCTCACAGATTACAATTTTATTTTAGAAGTGTTTTATTGTTTTGTGGGTTTTTTGAAATCATTGACTTCATTAATGAAATTACTGGAAGGTAATAGACCCCGCACAAAACTTTGTGGAACACCTGAAAGGATGCTCAAGTTCAAATGAACTTGGTTCTGCAATCATCTCTACAGATGATTTAATCTCAACGATATTTCCATGGTTAGAATTTGAGGAACATCAGGTAGGACAAAGTCAAAGGCTATATGAAGTTCAAGCTATATTTCAAGCTATAATCCCATTTGCTGCATTCCTCTAATATTCCAGGCTTGTTTATCTTGTTAGAAAAGAAAATTATTTTTGTTTGATACTGTTTATGACAAAGTTGTGTTAACTGCTTTGTATGCTTCTACACTTACAGAATAACTTATCCTAGAATGTTTTCAGATTAGGCTGGTTTTGTCTGTAACCCTTTCCCTTTCCCTTTCCCTTTCCCTTTCCCTTTCCCTTTCGATAGCAGCTAGGCTTGCCTTTTTCCTTTCTGCTGCGACTTTCTGCATTACCCAGGAGATTTTGGTAGTCAGCTCTGTCACATCTGGATTGTTTGAGCCTGGCTAATGCAAATTTATCCAGTTTATCTAGACGTTATTTTACATGTTAATCCCCGTGAACAGGAAATAAGACTTCAGGAAATCTTCCTTGTAGAAACTGTGCTCTTAAAATTGTATGCAAACAGAATTTTGCCCAAAATCATAACGGGATAAAACTGTTTGTGAACAGAAAATGGTGCAATACAATTAAGGCATGAAGAAATTATATATGAAAGTAATATGTAATTCATAGCTTAAAAGGATAACAAGAGAGGAAACAAAATTTAAAAGACAGAACAAATATTTATACAACAATACTAGGATCACTAGCAAGTGGCCACACAAAGAGGAATGACATACCAGTTTTACCAAAGTTCAGAGATGAAGGGCAGTACTTGACTCCAGATGGACACCTAAATGTACTGTCTCCATTACATGTGTCTACACGTGAGCGAAAGATTTGTCCTCCACTTCCAGGGGATGGAGAGCTGATAGATTACATGTGACCTTTGACATGCCAGGATATTTGCATGGCATGGCAAATGTGACACACAACTGTTGGGGGTCTTTACCCTTCCAGGCTGGCATCTGGAAGTGGTGGGAAACCCTAGGCAGTGGCCGTAGGCACCTGTGTCCAGGCAGGGATCCTGTGAATTGAACCATGTTTTCTTTGACTGTAATAGGAGATTAGATACACAGATGAGAAGCTCAGCAAGAGTGCAAACTCAGTGTGAAAGCAATGCTCTTTCAGACCAAAATCCTTCCTTTTCATCTCATCGCCAACATAAAAGTTTCTTAAGCTGTGTAAGATAAATAATCTTAGCCTGTGTAAAGTAAGCCCATCTGTTTTTTAGACAGTTTTCTCATTTTTCATGTAAGGTTATCTCATTCTGTATTAGCTACTGATGAGGAAGCTGGCTTTCTGACTTTGGCTAGGGAAAGTTTTGGTTAATTCCTTACTAATCTATACTTTTTTATTTCTGAGGGGTTTTGATATTTTTCTATCAGCACAACTGAGGTTTTAACTCGTATTTGGTGTAGCTTCTATCCATGTTGTCCTGTTGCATCTATTGTCCACTTATGCATTATTTCTAATGTTCTCTTAAACTGTTTAATATATTATGGCTTACTAAATGAGTGAGGATTAAATGATAGGCCTGTTCTATTCCTGGTCCTGTTCCTTGCTCTCTAATTACACTTAACCCTTAGGGGAATATAAGCGAAGAAGAAATTGAATTCAGCCTTGTTGGTTTAATCTTTTGTCATTACTACCTCATTGCTAATTGTTCTGTACTTTCATTTACATTTCTTTTCTTTCTACTGTACTTACAGAACCTCTTCATATTGTCTTGAATGTCTTGTGAGTTGCAATTAATTTTGTGTTTAGCATTTCTGATATATACATCGATATATATACATACATATACATATAATCTTTAAATATGCTATCCAGCTCTGATACATATATCTTTAACACCCATCTGATATCCTTAGCTTAGCCATGTGCTCTTATTTTCACCTTCAGGGTCAATTACTTTTGGATTTTTAAGTCAATAGAGAACACCTCACTGGAGCTGAATCCGTCTTTATGACTATTTCTTGCCTTTCCTCTGCATCAAAAAGGGTCATTTGCTGCTGTGCTTTTGAGCATTGCCTCTTAATAATTCTTCTATAGAAGTTTTTATAATGTGTCACTTTTTTATGGCTTAGTTCTCTTTATTAGAAATGCACACCATGCCTGTTAAACAAGTATTTGGGCCATAGACCTCTTTGAAAGTTTCTTTTGGAAGCTTATCCCTGCTGCTTGAAAGCTCTGTTTACTGCATAAATATGTTTTTGTCACACTCTGACTGACATAACTGTTACAGTAAAGCCATAGTGTAGATGAAGTTATACTGGCAAAAACATCCCTTTTCTAGAGCAGAGTTTTTCCTCTTTTGTGGAACTGCTATAAGCTGTCTGGGAAATAGAATGTATCTTTTGTCTCCACCAGGAGAATTTAGTGGAATGGTCTCATGAGCAAACTCTTCCTAATGTAGGCCTAGAGCTCAGCTGTCTTGTCTTACTTTTCGTATTT